AAGAAAGCTCAAATTGTAGGGACACGTCCCTAAAGCCCTCAGTAAACTTAGTGGAATCTTCTGATTATCGACCCAGTTTCTCTTTGACCTGAATGAGGTCTGAAATGGAGAATGGAACATGCACCCTAATTGTCCCATTAGGGGAGACAGGAACTTCCCTTAGGGGAAAAAGCCTTGAAGGCACTGTGGGAACAGGGGCTAGGGAGGTAGGGAGATAAGAAGTCCCACTTCTTGTGAGTGAGGGACTGGGAAATGCTGGCTGAACGGGAATGGACCACAGAGCCAGGGGATCCAGCTGGCAAGGGGAAAAAATCAGCTGACACTGGAGGAGGGGGAGGGGTCAAGGGAGGAGATGCCTCTGGGTGGTCCTTGCCTCTGGGTAAAGGGCCTGAGGAGGAGGTGTTACCAAAACCTGAGCAGGGTTCTGAGGAGAAATTGCAGGTTGGGAAGGGGGTTGGGATGGAGGAAAAGTGAAGGAAAAGCAAGGGAAAGAGGGGTTAGGCAAGGAAGGAGGGGGATGGGAAACGGGGGGGGCCAAGGGAAAATGGGGAGAATAGGGAGGGGATAGGAACTGGGGAGGTGCTATAGCCCTGGGAACAATAAAAAGAGGGTCATCCAAAAAGTCTAATTGATCCCCATTCCCCATTTGTGGGGTAGCTCTAGCTATAAGCATCCTACAATCTTTTCTGAGAATAGGGTCCCAAGAAAGTTCTACAAAAGTCATTATGCAGACAATCTCCACCCATTTTCCTTCTCTTCTACAATATCGGTTTAACTCTGAGAGCATATTTTGCTGTAATGTCCTGAAAACGGACCATGCCTCATAATTTTCCAGGTGATACTGAGGCCAAATGGTGTTGCAAAAGAACACCAGCCTTGTCTTTTGTAGTTCTTTAGAGAAACTAAATTTTTCCCAATTTCGTAAAATATAGCCCAAAGGCGAATCTTCAGGAACTGAAGAGGATTGACCCTTTGCTGGTGTGGGGACTGGAAGTCCCTCTCTCCTTAAAAAAAGATTTAGGAATAAGACTCGGGAAACAGAGAAAAAAGTCAAAAACCCAAAGAAGTACCTTAAGTTTTCCCAAGTCCCTGGCGCTGAGAGAATTGACAGAGTTGGGCCTATGATTCTGCCCACAATCATGGTCTTGAACAGAACCACTGGACTGAGAGCCTGTGAGAGCACAAGCCAAGCCTTCCTAGTTGCTTGGAAATCCACCCAATTAAAGGGTAAAAAAAACCAAAGGGATTAGAGGAAGAGGGGAGACATACTTACCTTCCAGCCCCGGCTGGTGAAGAGCTTGGTATAGGCAGTTTTTCCAGGTGCAGGGAACCACATGATGCAGTCTAGAGATTAGGGGTCCTGGCACCCCAAAATCACGTTACCTGGGTCCTGCCTGAAAGAATTCAACCCAAGTCTTCTTGCAGCCAAAAACAAAGTTTATTGAAGCATAAAATACAGCCCAAAGGTAAATCTTCAGGAATTGAAGAGGATTGACCCTTTGTGGGTGTGGGGACTGGAACCTCTAGACCTCATCAACTGTTCTCCTAAATTCTAGCTTGCAAGCCCCAACCAGTGTGTTTCCCTTTAACACTCAGCCAGTAGACTCAATTCTTCAGTGAAGACATTTACTCAATAACATAGCAAGAATTGTAATTTCAAAGTATTTCCCCAACACCAGGGGCACATTCTTCCAAATAAGTCCAGAGTCCTAGAGAGGGCAAGAGTGGGAAGGAACTTAAAGAGTCGGCATGGCATTAAAGTACACCCATAGTGATGCACACAGGTCCATAACATATATGGTCAAGGCAAGTCATAACTCCAAAACTCCAGAACTCTTTTTCAAAGGTATGTTGGGTATGTCAGTGTCTCTGCTGGACCAGTAGCTTAGCTGGCCTTGCTCCTTCTAAGACATGGCATCTCAGCTGGATGGACCAGTCTGCTGTTGGGCTGGGTCAAGCAGTTCACTGTGCTGGCTTGGCTCCTTCCCAGGCTCCACCGCTGCTAGATCGGGCAGTTACTGCCACTGGTTTCTGTGCAGTCTAGGCTGGTCATTCAATGGCTGGGCAGTGCCTGCTGAATAAGGTTGGCCCGGCCATTCTGCCCCTGGGAATCTGCTGCCAGGCTGGTCCAGGTAGCTTGCGTGGGCGCTGGCCTCTTCTGATCTGCTGGGCCCTTGGATTCTTTCAATAGGCAACTCCAGTCTTTTTCCACCTTCACTCACCAGCTATGCAGGGTGATTCTTTACTCTCTTCAGCTGGAGGGTTATCATGCTTGTTTTCAATTGGAATGCTACAGAGCTCTTCAGCTAGACAGGGATGGGGAACCTGCAGCCTTTTGGTCATATGTGGCCTTCTAGAGATCCTTAAGTGCGACATTTTGACTGAATTCAAATTTTATAAGGATTATTCTGTAAAGTTTGGATTCAGCCAAAAGACCATACTTAAGGGTCTAGAAGGCTATATGCAGTCTCAAGGCTACAAGGTTCCCCACCACAGAGCTAGGACAATCCCTCAAAGCCTCAATTCAGAGGTTGTCACTTCAGGCAAGACATGGGAGAAAACTGGCCTCTTTTATGGACAAATTCTTTCTGGTTTAAATTTCCTTCCCTCTGTAATCCAGTCTATGTTGTCTTAGATCTAGGAGCATTAATGTGGGGTACGTGGGCCTTCCTCCTCCAAAGGGCTCATGGATAGATTTTATAAGGTCAATAAACTTGGATGAAAAAAATGACATTTTTATTTTCACTAACTTCTAACTGAAATTTCATATTTCTGTCAATTATTTAAAAAACATTATTCTGAGCCCAGACACAAAAAAGATTAAGAACCCCTGCCTTAGGGCAATTAGTCTCAGCTCCGTCATTTTCACTTCTAATACTCCTTTGAGAATCTTAAGCGGATAAGTAGCTAAGCACAAAGGTATTGAATACCACAAGGAGGGCCTATTGTCTTCCTGGCTTCTTCATATGCAATTAAGGTACTCCCACCATTCTTAGGGTGGGGAATGTCAATTTTGCATGTGAAGGTTTTCCTATTTACCTTTCAATATCTGTTTTGCAACTTTCCTCAGACTTTCAGCTTTTGTTGAAATCTCACTGAGGTATTTCCCAAACAAAAAGAAAAGCAAATATACTTTTTTGGTGCCTAGTGGAGCTCTCTATATAATGGGGGAAAAGACTGGGAAATTACTACGTACATAGTGAGATCTATTTGAAGCTGCTGGAAGGTCATTTCCAAGGGATGGTTCTGAGTGGGAGAGAGGAAGGCGCAGAAGGCCCTCCTGGAAAAGGTGGATTTTATTGGAAAAGGACCCACATGTACAAAAATATTTATAGCAGCTCTTTCTGTGGTGGCAAAGAACTGGAAATTGAGGGGATGCCCATCCATTGGGGGATGGCTGAACAAGGTATGGTATATGAATGTAATGGAACACTATTGTGCTATAAGAAATAGTGAGCAAGCTGACTTCAGAAAAACCTGGAAAGACTTGTATGGTCTGATGCTGAGTGAAGTGAGCAGAACCAGGAACACCTCGTACACAGTAACAGCCATCTTGTGCCATGAATAACTTTGATAGACTTAGCTCTTCTCAGCAATGCAAGGATCTAAGACATCTCCAAAAGTCTCATGATGGAAAATATTATCCACATACAGAGAAAGAACTATGTAGTTTGAATGCAGATAGAAACATACTATTTGCTCTTTTTTTTTCTCTTTTGTTTTGTTTCCTCTTTTTTGTGGTTCCTCCTATTGGTTCTAATTCTTCACAACATGATTATTGTGAAAATATGTTTAATAGGAATGTATATGTAGAGCCTATATCAGATTGCACACTGTCTTGGGGAAGGAGGGGGAGAAAATTTAAAACTCAAAATCTTATGGAAGTGATTGTTGAAAACTAAAAATAAATTAATTAATAAAAAAAGAAAAGGTGGATTTTGAAGTGGACTGAGTTGTCACAAACCTAGCCTGATCTCCTTAGTCCCTACCTCAAAGGATTGCGAATCCACGATTGTAAATTCCACTACCTCAAAGGATCGCTAATCCACGATTGTAAATTTCACTACATCAAAGGATTAGTATCTACGATTGAAAACTGTTGGGTATAAAGCTTTGTTATTTCTCTTGCCTGGCACTGTTTCTCCTAGGATTGCATCCAGGGGACAGTCGCCGGCCGGCTCCAGTAAATGCTCTCTATTTTCTAATTTGGCGTGTGTCTGGTTACTCTCGGCCCGTCCATTTCATTTGGAGGTCCCACCGAGATTGCCCTCTGGGCACCAGACATGGGCATCTCTGGAAGGCCAGGCTTCTCACTGTCCAGGGGGTGGGCACCAGGAAGACGTTCCCTGGCCCCAAACGCTGAGATAGCCCGTGCGCACCAGGCTGCCCGGACCACAAATCCTCAATTGGGCATAGAGCAATCTGTAATCTGTCTGTTCTGGTGAGTACTCTTCTGAAGTAAGTGGCCAGGCTGGACGCAGCTGCAACGCCCTTACTGACCTCCACGGGACGCCGTGTGAGAGTCCTGCCTGTCTGATTGTGTCTGTCCGGCGCTGATGTCACTGTGTGTGTGTGTGTCCACTGTGCGCTCCGTGGCGGGGTGGGGGAGAAAGACTTCCTGCCTCATTCTCCAGGTTGTTCGGAACTGAGACGGGTTCGTTCCCCGCTACTGTGTCAGGAGCATCCAGGGTTTTGACTGTGTCTTTTTCCCGTTTTTGTGTCGACTGTGTGTGTGCGTCTATCTACTATTTGTTCCATGAGGGGGGGGGTGTAAATTCCTGTCTCATTGTCCAGGTTGTTCGG